TCATGTGTTGAAAGACCGCTGGAGCATTAGTAAGACCAAATGGCATGACATTGTATTCAAAATGGCCATAACTTGTTCGAAAAGCTGTCTTCCATTCATCTCCTTCCTTGATTCGCATAAGGTTGTAAGCTCCCCTTAGGTCAATCTTTGTAACGATCCTTGCACGCCCAAGTTGTTCTAGAAGACCAGAGATCAAAGGCAGTGGGTAGCGATTCTTTTTTGTCACCTTGTTGAGACCTCGATAGTCCACGCACATCCGTAGTGAGCCATCTTTCTTCTTCACAAATAAGATTGGTGCCCCAGTTGGCGACTTCGAATGACGGATGAAGTTCTTGGCTAGATTCTCGTCAATGTACTTCCGCAACTTAGTCAACTCCGTCTGCGACAAATTGTAGATTGGTCCAAAAGGTGGTTGTGCTCCTTCTTGCAATTCAATGGCACAGTCATAGGGTCGATGCTCTGGCAGCATATGAGCATTCTTCTTTTCAAAGACATCTTTGAATTCTTCATACTGCTTTGGAATAACCAAAGTCGAAGTTGCATCTTCTCGAGTCGGAGTTGCAAAGATGACAAGAGGTGTATTTTGCTTGGCTTCCTTCATGAAAGCCCTTGCACCTATAAACAAGGATTTGTTTCTAGACATTGTCTTGGTAGATTCCACCTTCAAGGAGTTTGTTGGAAATGTCACTTTCCGCAACTTCCAATCTATCAATGGATTATATCTATCAAGCCAAGATAGTCCCAAAATGATAGGACATGAAGGGGTCTTGATAACATTAAACACAATATTGCTCTCATGGTTTTCAAGACGTACCTTCAATGGTTTAGTTTCATGGATAACATTGCCCGAAGACAATGGTCGTCCATCTATGACTTCTACATGGACAGGCTTAAGTTTCTTTACAAGAGAAATATTGTGAAGCTTGGCAAACTCTTCATCTATAAAGCAAGCGGATGCACCCGAGTCTAATAAAGCATCGACTTGTAGTTCTTGAATACCCAGATGTAAAGGTACCATAAAACAATCTGAAGGTTGAGCTGAGAGAAAGGGACCTTGATTAATTTTGGATGTTGAGATGTCTAGCCGCACGGTCCCTATTGTGGCTGGGCGTCCTTGTTTTCCTGCATGCTTGTACTCCTGAGTCTTGTTGTTTGAGGCTTCTGTTTCTTTCGACAATCTACAGCTTTATGGCCCGCTTCTCCGCAATATAAACACAAGTTTTGTTCAAATCGTCGCTTCCTTTCCTCAGCTGTGAGGGGTTTGAAACGTACCGCATCAATTTGCATGGGTTCAGGATCTGTGGAGTGATTCTCTGGACCTTTTGAAAATGTAGCAAATGCTCCATCATTTCTCCAGCCTGATCGTCTTTCTTGTCGTAATTCAAAGAGGCGGTTGTCACAAATAATTGCCTGAGATATAAGTTCTTCTAAAGTATCCGCCTTAGGCATGGTGATCAATAAGTTCTTGACATCATCTCTCAGTCCATATCGAAATCGTGTCATGAATGCCTTATCATTCCAATCAAGATCACATGTAAGCTGTTGAAATTCTGCAGCATAGATTGCAGCAGAACGTGATCCTTGTCGCAGATTTTGTATCTTTCTTTCAGCCACTCTTTCTCGATCGCTATCTCCAAACGCAGCAGTAAGTCTCTCTGTGAAAGCCTTTAGGTCGTACAATATTAGAGAATCCTTGTCCAATAGTGGAGCAAACCAAGAGCGAGCATTTCCTGATAGAAGAGTACCTATGAAAGCAACCTGGGTAAATCCATTCGGATAATGAGAAGGGTATAGGCGTAGGTAAAGCCGTACTTGTTGCACAAAACCTCGAAAGTTGGCTCTTGTTCCGTCAAACTTGTCTGGCATACTCGCTTTTGGTTCTTTCGTACTAATCCTTGAAGTATTTATAGGGGTCGTATGTGACACATGTCTTGCTTCTCTTAGTCGAATAATCTCTTGTTGTAGGCTATGAATTTCGCGTCTAGCTTCTTCGGTCACTAGATCAATTTGAGGTTCTTTATTTGGATTGCGAAGAAATGCAATCTCCTTTCGTACACTATTCATAAGAGCTTGAAGATCTGCAAGAGTTGCCACTCTATTGTCTACTTGTGAAGATGCACTGTCTATGACTTGGTCTACTTCCATATTTAGAGAATAAATGGATTAAAATTTTGAGAGAAGAAGAAATTGCTAAGTCTCTTGGAGAAAATTGTAGCACTACCTGTCACTAAAACCTACTCGGAGAAAAGAAAAGAAAAAAAAAAAAAAACACTAAACGATTTCAGTTTTAGAGGAGGATAATCCGCAACCTCTAAAAATGCCTCAATGCTTTCGAGAAGAGGGGTAATCCGCACTCTATCAAGAAGGCAAAGCTCTGAAATCGATGTTAACAGTCTTTTCTACTAGCTATGCTAAACAAAAAGAAGGAATTAATATTAGTTCAAGAGAGGGTAATCCACAACCCTTAGAATGCTCAAGTATCTCCAAGGAAAGGGGTAGTCCACTCTCTGCCTCAAAGAACTAAGCTCTGATATTGTGATTGAGAAAATATCAGTTTAGAGGAAGGTAATCCGCAACCCCTAAAGCGCTAGAATACCTTCAAGAAGAGGGATAATCCGCTCTCAAACAAGAAGGATTCAGCTCTGATATTAAGATAAAGGTAATCTCGACAAACTGTCACGGACACAAAATACAGACTTGAAATCTAACAAGAAGTTCAAGAAGAAGTGGCAGAACTAGATTAAACAGATGAGTACAAGAACAACACCAGAAAGGTGAGCTAGAACTCCAAGAGATGTGTTGTCGAGACTGAAGAACTCTTCAGCCTCGACTCCTATATATACTACTGGCCTATGGTTCTAAGGAAGCGCATCAAGAAGCTTCCCAAGAATTATGAAGCTTCTCGAGCAACTACCCAAGAGCTAGGAAGCTTCTCAAGTAACTTCCTAGAATCTACTAGAATATTCTAAGAATCTTCTAGAGCCTTCTAAGGGAATCTTTAGGAAATCTTCAAAGAATCTTTAGGGAATCTTTGAAGAATATTCTAAGAGAATATTCAAAGAATCTTCTGGAAGTTTCTAGAGACTTCTTTCTAGAAGGTTCTAGAAACTTGTCTCTAGAAAGGTCTAAGGACTATGTCCCTAACAGTCTGGATCTTGGTAAATTCAGCAACAATACCTTGATACTTGCTTGAAAATGATGTGTACAAGGTAAACAATAAAAGACTTCATTTCTAAGAAGAGTTGTAACTCATGCTACCAAATTGTTGGAGATTGTGCATTCTGATGTTTGTAAATCAATGAAGATACTATTAATTAGAGGACAAGAAACTTTGTCACATTTATTGATGATTTTTCAAGAAAAGTATAGATTTACATCATTAAGGTAAGAATAAATGTTTCTCAAGGTTAAAGGAATTTAAGGTTCATGTAGAAAAATAATAGGAGTGCAAGCTCATAGTATTCTACACAATGTTATACTATAATTACTTATAATATGTAAAAATTAGTTAGAACATATAATATGTTCATAAGTCTTGATGTGTATTAAAATGGTTAATAGATTAATTTAAAGAGAATGGATATAAGAAATTTTATTTTGAGTTTTATCTATTTTGCTTGATAACACTATCATGCTTCTATTGTGGCATTTTTTTTTTTTTTTTTTTTTTTTTTTTAATCTTAATGAAGCTTGGATTAAATTATTAAGATAATGTGTCAATATTAAAAAAATTGAAAATCATTTATTATTCATATAAATTATTTTAATTATTGTCTTAAATTTAGCTCTGTTTAAGTACATATTACACCATGTTAATAAATTTTTTTATATTACAACCCTTTGAATCAATTTGTTTGTACATCTTTTTGCAATATTGATTCTAAAAACCAACACTCTGTATACAATTGTGTTGCATTAGTTTCAAAATTTCAAAAACTATTTTTGATTTTTAAAACAGTATCTAATATTTTAAATTAAATATCTTTCTTCCAATCTTTTATTGAAATATTTCTGATATATAAAACTTTCAAAAAAAATTTGTACAGCCATATGGTATATCTAATGTTATGGTAGATTTAATCCTTATTTTTAATGTTTGTTCAATGTTTTATGTTATGTATGTGTGAATATATATATGACGTTTAAAAAAAAAAAAAGAAAAAAGAAAGAAAAAAATAGAATGGCTCTTACATAACTTTAAGTATTATTGAATCTGATTTTTTGATTTATTTATATTATTATTGTGTATATTTGAGCTTAATAAGTAATGAAAAAAACTCTGCATTAAAATTGGTAGAATACAAAAAAATAGTTCAAAGTAATAAAACACATGATTTTGTTATTAAGTTATTTAACTTCTATTTGACTAACCTCATTTAAAACAATCATTATGTAATTTGATTACATTTCATGAATTCTACTGAAAAAATTGAACACTTACTTTTAAAAATACATGCATAAATAATTATTATAATATTTACTCTAACTAAAACTAAAATTCATACCATTACATATCTCAATAATATTTTGTGCATAATGAAAAATGAAATAAAATCAGTTTTTGAATTTTTTTATTGACTACAAAAATATTTTCGAAAAAAAAACCATAGTGGAAAAATGAATAAAAAATTAAATTTAAGATTGAACCTCCACAAAAACAAGTCCTAACCCATGAGTTGAGTCCCATATACTAATTTTAAACCCAACTTTTTGTTTTGGGTGAATAGATCTTGACGGCCCATTACCGTGGGTTGATGTTGATGAAGAACACACTGTGTCTGGCGAAGCAACCTGCGGTCACATTTCCCAGAATCAGACTCACTTATGGAACATTTGGTGCGGACTCACTCCCATGAAATATGTGAGTCTCACAATGGAACGCTAACCATTGATTAGCATCAGTACGGCAAAATTTTAGTTTCCCCCACGAAAAGCAACTTCCGAGTCTAAGCTGACGACCTGGCAGTACTGTTTCTGGATCCAATGCAGAATGATGGGAGGTGTGCTGTGCATTGCACTCATTTCCCGCAATAAAGCTAAAATAATCAGGCGATTTTTGAATCTTTGCATTCCCGATCAGCAACAAAATTTCATTTGAAGGTCTTTAGGGTGGATCCGTATTAGAATTTTTAGATCTGCGTAGAGATTGAGAGATGGAATTGATGAGTTTCGAAAGTGGGAAGCATGGAGAGAAGTTGTGTGAGATGACTGATGTCGAGAAGAGGGACAGGTTGCTGCGGACTTACAGTGAGCTTTGCGAAGAGCATTTTAAAGGAGTCCCAGAGGTTTCTAGCGAAGAGTTGCTACAGATCTTGACCCACCATGATGCTGGTGTGCGCGCGTCTATCGTTCTTGTGGACTGCCGTTCCGAAGCTGAGCAATCCGTATGGTGTTCCATTTTTTTGCCACATTTAAAAATTGTGTTGAAGTTTCTTCCCCGTCCCCTCTCTTGACATCTTTTTATGAATACTCTTGGTGTTGCGTTCATTGCTTAATAGGCAAGACGATCAATGCTGTCGGTATATGTGGAATCTGTCTTTAGTTGACGCTTCCTTAGCATTTCGTCCTTGCATAACAAAATCCTCCCTTAGGCTATTAGACGTGCTTAGAGTCTAGGATTGGATGCAGGTTTCGATGCTTCCAGGGGCGGTGACTATGGCGGATTTAGAACAAAATCTTGATGAGCTTAAAGATGTGGAGCTTATTCCTTACTGGTATCAAATCCTCCATTTCTTCATATTTCTCAGGCTCCTTTGGATTTCATCTTTCACCAAGATTGTACTTAAGTCTCCATGAATACAATCCTTGCCGGTGTAGAATTATTTTAGACCAACTAAAGCTAAAGGTTTGCATTCTACGAGTCTATCTGCCAATATTTTAGTGAGAAAGACTTTTTCCTTTAAAATGTTTCATGAATCACGCTTACGCTTACGCTTGCTAGCAAGGTGCATAGAGGAAAGAGATGACGCACCTACATGTCGTTGAAAACTTAACTTGCAAATGAAGTGTTCTTAGGTTTGGGTACTTTCTTAGACACAAGAGTAGCGGTTTTCAGAGTAAGCAAGGATGGGCTTGTTACCTCAAGGAGCTGTTGAGAGCCAAATAGAACTCTACTACGCCCTACTATCTTTTCAGTTATGTCGAATTCTATCATTTGCAGAGCTATATGCAACCATTGATCCTGAACAAACCTGGTGGATTGATATTGTTGGGGCCTTTTGGATTATTCGCTCAGTGCCATTGGAAGGCGATCGGGGTTTTTCACGAAGAGAATTCTCGAGAAGAATACCGGCGTTAAGATAAGGAATCATGCAGGTGGAATTCTCGATTGGAGTCATGTGGAGGGGCCGCTTGTCGATCGGGGCACACAGCATGCGATCAAACAAATGCACGCGGGTGGAGCTAACCACTTGAAACATCTACCAAGCTCTGGCAAGCTTGAGATCTTATTGCCCAAGGAAGTATGATCACTGATGAATTTAATTTCGATCCAACAAGTGCATGCGGGTAGAGCTCACAGGCGGTTCCAAACTATTTCGGCAGAGAGCCTCTGTGATACAAAAAAGAGAGCGAAACAATTACCAATGTATGACAACCTTAAGATACAGCATGTGAAGGACTGCGCTGACGAAACCAGAAAGAAACTAAATGTCATAAACCAATTACTGAAATGAAACTCAAGTATTTGCACAATCTTCTTCTACAAATGCAACTTTAAACCTATCTAGATCATAGCCTAATTCGTAGAAGAGAGAAGCTGAGAGGTAAAGTAGCATCGTACCTTGAGAAACAGGAACAAAATGGTTTGCATTTATGAGCTTTGTAGTAATGCGTGAATCCTGAGTGCAGTCAAGATGACCGGGTAACTAAAAGCATCTCAAAATCCCATCACCCAAATATCACCCAAAGAGAGCAATAAACGTCTCAATGAACATACATGTGACATAAGATGACGGCAACGATTGAGTTGATTAAACCTGTAACTAGATTTTACCAACTAGGTTTTAACTAGGTTTTACCATCCTATTGCTCCAACAAATGGGATTTTTTGATGCTCCAGCCAAACATAGGCTAGGTAATAACACACACACACACACACACATATATATATATATATATATATATACATATGTAAGATATTTATTTAATCAGTAATGTACAACTTATGGACATTAGGAGATTCTAAGTCTCATTTAAATAATCTTTTACAACTTTAATTTGTTTAAAACTTAGCAAATATAATTTTAGAATTTATTTTAATAAAATAAATATAAGATCAAGAAATGTTATTATTTCTATATTTTTATAATGTCAATGATTGCACTTTAAAATACTCTATTTAATCAGTTTTTTTTTTAATTTACCTTTTTTATTCATTTATTTTCTAAAATTATATGTATCATGCAGTTTTTTATTCATTTATTTATATAAAAATAATCAATTAGATATATATTTTAAATTTTTTATCTTTAAAGTACTCATGTGGAGGCAAGAAAACAAATTGTGTGGTAGAGTAACCATGAAAGGTACCTTCTTTCATGATGATGGTGCTGGGCAGAGCTCTCTGTGATGCACTTTGTTTATTGTTTTTGCTTAATGTCAGAATTTGAAGCTCTGGAATGTGCCTAAGAAGCTGACTTTCCTGTCCAGCACAAATGTGTTTTGAATTTAACATGATATTTTACCTTCATGGTTTTTTTTTCCTATAACCAAATAATCCTTGAAAATTACATATTCCTTCAATAAATTTTTCAATCACTCACACATAGACAAAGTAGACAATTTTTTTTATTGAATATCCATTCCATCAAAAAAACATGATTTTAATCTTAGAGATATCCCCCTAGAAAGTGAGGCATGCCTTGTATGGAGCACTGAGTGTGTCATGAGAGTGTTATGAAGATAGTGGCAGATTTGGGAGTGACATGTCACACAAAATTGGACATGAGAGAGAGAGAGAGGGAGAGTAATTTTATAGAACTCTGTTCACCTTTTCAGGATAACATGAGGAAGTGCACAAGAGGGGGGTTTCATTAAAGAAGCAAATTGGATTAGTCCATTCATGTCAGAGGGCAAGGCACCACCCAATAGAAGATCTGCATTGTGTGGGCCACAGGGCACACCTGCCATAGTGGAAGGAAGATACATGGGTGGAAGAAATGTGCAGAATTTGAGGATTGCAATGTGCAAAGAAAGTATGTGGGAGCCAGATGGGGAGGGGGGGAGGGGAGGGGGATTGTGCCACAGAGGGTACGTGCATGGGGACAGTACTGTGGGAAAAAGTGTTGCTTGAGAAGCCTGCAACTGCACAAAGAAGCAAGCGAAGCAAAGGGGTGGTTTGAGAGAAAGAGAGAGACTTGGATAGGACACTCAGACATACCACTGGTGACTCTCTGAGGGGAGGGGAGGGGAGTAATAAATAGAGCAATGGATGAATGAAGAAGGTGGCCAATGAACGACAGTGAAGTGGTCCCAAAGGGAGGTGCGGCGGTGTTGTGCTTCCATCCACGCATGATGAGGGGATATATTCTGCCCGCTGATGTCACAAGTTCGTTTTATATTGTTGGTTTGTTTGGTACGTTTGATGTGGTATGGTATGTAATGTGATTGTAATTGTAATGGAATGGAGACACGCAAGGGGGGGGAGGGGGAGTATAAGGGGAGTAGGGAGTGAGTGTGAATGAGAGAGTCTCTCTCGAGGGAGAGAGAGAAAGAGAGAGACAGAATTTGTTGCGCTCCTCCTCCACCGCTCCATGCTTCCAACGCTCTCCCTACATAAGCTTGGACTCCAGGGACTCAGCTCTCTCTCTGTGTTCGGACATCGCAGCTCCTCTGTTGTTGCCCTTCCTGCGGCAATGGCGACATCTCCTCTATTCGGCTCCCACCACATGCTCGTGGCACATCAAGGCCCAGCTTCTGCTGTGCACTTTCTCAAGCAATCTTCTCTCCTGACGCTTCAATGCAGGAGAGGTGGGAGAGTCGAGGGAGGGGTTGTGGTGAAGGCGGTTTCCAACATACAGAATTACGTGTCAGAAGGATCGTCGCTGGGCGAGGTTACCAAAGGAGACTTTCCTATACTTGACCAGGTGGATGGTTGATTTGTTACTTGTGTGTGTGAGTGAGAGAGAGAGAGAGAGAGAGAGAGAGAGAGAGAGAGAGAGAGAAAAAAGAAAAAGAAAAGAAGAGCGCGTTTTTCACGGAGAGTGAACGTAGGCTTTGTTCCTTGCGTGTAGCAACATATGAGCAGGCAATGGTTTAAAGAATTTGATTTAAACAACAGAATTATTCATTGATATTGTTAGACGAGTTGCATGCGCTGGATTTTGGCAGAATGTTGGTTCTAAGCATTGAATTGATTACTCTGTGTATCGAAGCATTGAAATTGGCGTGTTGTCAATCGCAGTATGTAAACGGGTACAAGTTGGTGTACTTAGATAATGCTGCCACATCTCAAAAGCCTGCGTCTGTCCTCAATGCTTTGCGGGATTATTACGAGGGATACAACTCAAATGTTCATCGCGGCGTGCATGCTTTAAGGTCTTTTATTCGACCGTAGCCGTTCTCTAACGATTTCTCGAGATCCCTGCGTAATCGAGTACTAGATCTCAAAAGTGTGACAAGTTGTCAAACTATCGCTTTAGTCATAGTTTTGAGCTTGTGTTGAACGTAAGATCTTGTTCTGTAGCATATTGTCTGGTTTACTTTTCAAGTGCTCTGTTGCAAAAGCGACTGATCAGAATGATAACAGAGATTGCTCAGCCGTAAAGGTTTTCCATGCACTGTGATTTGCAGTGCAAAAGCAACCGACGAATACGAAGCAGCAAGAAAAAAGATAGCTGGTTTCATCAATGCGCCCTCCGATCGTGAGATAGTGTTTACTCGTAATGCGAGTGAGGCAATCAATCTTGTCGCATATACGTGGGGACTAACCAATCTTAAAGAAGGTGACGAGGTAAGCAGTATGTTGTATTTGGTCTTATGAAATAGCGAGTGTCTTTTCACTAACTCTTGCGCCTTAAAACATGTCTAAGGAATGATTGCTTACATGAAATCCTTCAGATGGTTTAAATCAATTTACTGATCCTTTTGGGCTCTATTATATTAAAACATGTAAGGAACATGTAAAGGTGCATGGATCTCTACTCTCTTGAGAGTTGACCTATTTCACGTGAAATTTTTTCTTGTTATGGGAAAAATAATACGTTAGGCTGTTGGTCTTGAAAGGCTGTGGCTGCGTCATCATGTTTCTTGAGATTTATGAACTGCGGATTTTGTGAACGAGAATAGCGGTGCTTTCGATGATGCACAGGTTGTTCTGACAGTGGCTGAGCACCACAGCAACATAGTACCTTGGCAGCTGGTTGCGCAGAAAACTGGGGCTATTCTGAGATTTGTAGAGTTGACATCTGAAGAGATTCTAGACTTGGAGCAGCTGAATGGATTTCTGAACGAAAGAACCAAATTGGTTTCAATCTTCCATGTCTCCAACGTGTTGGGTATGTATTCAATCTTTAGTATTTGCATAAGAACACCTATGGATGGTGGATAGGGAGTGGTTCATTCTAAATTTTATGAATTGACTTGCTTCTGAATTTGAGGTAGAAAATCGAGATCTTTTCTTCAGCAATCTTTAGCACCCTATCTGGACTTTGTCAAAGATTCATTTGTCGTCATAGTTGTACCAATTTGTAATAACGACTTTGTTTATTCTGGTGTCAGGTTGCATAAATCCTGTAGAGGACATTGTGAAATGGGCACATGCTGTCGGTGCAAAGGTTCTGGTGGATGCTTGCCAAAGTGTGCCACACATGCCTGTGGACGTGCAGGCTCTAGGTGATTTTCTGGTGGCATCATCTCACAAGGTTGTGATTCACATCTTTAGTTATAGTTAAAACATTGGGAAACATTGCTAATGTGAGTGTTGATGGTCTTTTCTTGTTGAAAGGAAATTTCTCTAGGTTTTGATTCTGAGGATGTACTCATGACTCTCAGATCCGTTTTGGGGATGTTGTAGATGTGTGGACCTACAGGCATGGGCTTTCTATGGGGAAAAACAGAAGTTCTCGAGTCGATGCCACCATTCTTAGGTTAATGAATTTTTTTCAATGCCTTGTTGTTTATATGATAAGATTAGGACGAGAAGTGATCAACATCCACACTCGCTTATATTATTGTCTTTATGCAGGAGGAGGAGAGATGATTGTTGATGTTTTCTGTGATCGATCAACCTATGCTGGTCCTCCCTCACGGTTAGTAAATTCATTTTCACATCTTTGAAGTGCCTTCGTGATGCGGGCTCATGATTAATGCTTAAAAGAAATGGTCCAAGATTTATTTCTCGGAGTGCGTACAATGTATTTTGAGAAATACTACAGGCAGAGTCTTCAGAAATTGTGAAAGGTTTTTCTACCCTCAGTAATTCAGAATCTACTTAGGTCATGTAGACGAAAACTTTATACGAACCAGTTGTACGGGATGGTGGTGCATAATTCCTCGACTTACTTCCACTTATCCTTTACCGTTTAACTCGTCAGGTTTGAAGCTGGTACACCTGCAATCGGTGAAGCGGTTGGATTTGGGGCAGCAGTGGACTACTTGAACAAGATTGGAATGGACCGCATACATGAATATGAGGTGCTTTTTACTGCTCTATTTTTATGTCACTATTATACTTGTTTTAGAGTTGTTGGCATTAGGGGTACAAGGCTTGAGATGGTGTGTTTGTTGGTCTATTTCAACCAAGGAGTACAATCATATGTTCTGAGATGCTGGAGATTCATTATGTGTGCAACAGACATTTAGAACCGAGATTGACGGGGCTCAGCCTTGCAGATGGAACTGTCCAAATACCTGTACGAAAGTTTGTCGAAAGTTCCTGGTGTACGAATTTATGGACCCCCGCCAGGAGATCATGGTGAGAGACGCGCATCTTTATGCTCTTTCACTGTGGAGGGCATTCATGCTACAGATTTATCAACATTTCTTGATCAACAGGTGCACTTCGCACCTTTCCACCTCGCATTGTGCTTCTCCATCTTGCTCCTTGTATTGCTTCTTTTTTCTCCAGTTGAATTTACCATCGTCTATTCCAATTTGTTTTTCAGTAAATTTAGGTTCTGTCTGATTGAGATTCTTCACCCATAAGGGGACTAATTTTTCAAGGTTACTGTAATGAAGCATGGGATTGCTGTCCGATCTGGTCACCACTGCACGCAGCCTCTACATCGTTTTCTGGGTATTAGTGCAAGTGCTCGAGCGAGCTTGTACTTCTACAACACAACCGACGAAGTTGATAGCTTCATCCAGGGATTAAATGATACAATTGATTTCTTCTCGTCATTAAAATGATTCCAGTAAACACGAGCTGGAGTTTATAACAAATTATTTAGTTTAAACGTAGAGAATTTTATAGTTGTAAGTTGCAACAATCCTGCAATAGGCCCCAATACAAGTCCTCTTTTGTTTAGATGCTATGTGTGTATATGATGTTTTTGCATATAGAGAGATATTTGCCCTTCATTAATTTGGAGCGTACATTTACCCAGCTTGTTAATCCTCAGAAAACATTGTCTCACTACACAACATTGTGTGTGGCATGTGAATACGGTTTTGCAATAAAAATCACTAAATTAAATATAAAAAAAATCAAATTAAATTTTATTTGATATAAATCTTGTAAAAAATTATGCATTATAAATTTTATTGTGATTGATATTTAGTATTGGATTTTAATAAAAATATAATCTATAATTTTTTGGTATATTTTGTTTACTACAAAAATAAATTTATCAAATAAAAAAAAACCAATTAAAAAAATCAAATTAAATTTTATTGTGATTGATATTTGATTTTTATTTGATAGAAATCTTATAAAACATTATGCATTATAAATTTTATTGTGATTGATATTTAGTATTAAATTTTAATAAAAATATAATCTAGAATTTTTTGGTATATTTTGTTTACTACAAAAATTTGACTAATATTTTATAAATAGAAGTTATTTATTTATTTATTTATTTATTTAATTTTTTCTTTTTATCTTTTTAAAAATAAGAAAAGAAAAGAAAAGAAAAGAATATAATTATTATACCTTCTATAATAAAGATAAAATTTTATTATCTTTGATATAATTAATAATAAATTAGAAATTTTAAATGTATTTAAATTTATCTGATAAAGTTGTTATGTATATATATATATATATATATATATATATATGTTATATGAAAAAAAAATTATACTTTTTTATATTTAAATTTATACTTTTAAAATTATATTTTTTATATTTAAATTTAAAAAATAAAATTTTATGTATTAAATATCTATCAAGAATATATATAAAAAAACTTGTGATCATCAATTAAGAATTTATCATAGTAATATTTGATGATATTTATACTATAAGAGTTTTGATTATTTTTGATTCTTAAGTTAGAATTACTTACTATAACCATTTTGTCATTAAATAAATTTATAAGCCAAAAAAAGTTATTAAAACTAGCATTGCCTAGTAAGTAATTACAAAAAAATTATAATCAATTTAGCCAGTTATTTGTTAAAGACATGAACTGGAAGAAGATGCATAAACCTAAAAAATTTGTATTAAAAAAAAAAAGACAAAATAGCAATAAAGTAGTATATATATTAAAAAGAAACTAGAATAGCTATTACTAAAAGACAAAGAAACTAGAGACTCTTAAATCTAAATTAAAAGCAAGAAAGGAGTTGAGAGGAATGAAGAGGGCTTCAGTCTTGCCTCTATATAGTATATCTAACTAGGAGCTATGTGACAATGTTTTGTAGGACCTCTAATATGTGTTGACTTTAAAGGACACATGCCTTAGCTTATAACGCAAGTTTTCTATGTGTAGGCCACATAGTATCACGGACATACATATTTATCCTAATAATTACCTAGATAATAAGAATAAGTAGAAATAAATCAATGTAGATAAATATGATAATTTCTTGTGAAAAGCTTTGTAGAAGCTTCATAGATGCTGCTTTACCTTTATACATGTCTAAAGGTGATTGATAGGTTGAAAATTTAGTCAAAAAAGAGGCCATGTGTTGACATGTTAACCACTTGTAGTACAAGTTGGACATATGGCATACACCTAGGAAACTTGTCTTGCAAATTAGACATGTGTCCTACAAGTTGGACGCATATTAGAAGTCCTATAGCATGTCGCCACATATTTCTTAGTTAAGTAGTATATATAGAGGCAAGAATGAGACCTTCATCACTCTTGTCAACTCCTTTCTTGCTTTTAGTCTAGTTTCAAGAGTCGTATGTTTTCTAGTCTTTGGTAATAGCCATTTCAATTCTTCCTTCAATATACATACTTTCTTTTATTTTTTCACTTTCCTTCTAAAAGAGATTCTACAAGTTTATGCATCTTCTTTCAGTTTGTGTCCTTGACAGATTGACAAGAGTTGACATATAATATCAGAGCTTTGTCTTTTTTTGATTAAGAGTGGATTATTCGTTTTTCTTAATAAGACATAAGCATATTAGAAGTTACGGATTACCCTCTTCTAAATTGATATTATTTCTAGATTTTTTTTTTTTTTTCTTAATTCTTGAGTATTGTATTTTGTGAGAATAGAGATTTTTTTTATTTTTTTATTGTACTAGCATGGCAGAGTTTGCTGAAATGAAGAGAGCAATGCTTCAAATGCAAGAGCAAATGAAATGCATCAACTCAGTCTACCACCACAAGTAGCAACAAGATTATCAAGCAATAAAGATATAGAGATGATTGGAGTTGCTTCAATATCTACACCAAGCTATATTATTGCTCCTACAATAAAACATTATTCCATTTTTAAGAAACCAAAAATTAGATTTCTTGAGAAGTTTGATGGCACAAGATCTAAATTTTGAAGATTTATCAATCATGTACAACTAGTGATTGAACTACAACCTCAAAATTATCCAACTCAAGGATCACAAGTCAGGTTTATTGAAACACTACTTTCAGATTCTACTTTATCATGATTTTCATCATTTTTTGAATGACGTGATCTAATATTGGATAATTTAGAAGCATTCTTAGTGAAGTTTCAATCTATGTATGGAGAACATGATGCAATTTATGTTGCAACCAACAAGATTTGTATCTTGTGACAACACAATCAATTAGTGCCATTATACGTTTCACAATTTTGACAATTAGCAATATATATTAAGTGGGATGATGTAGCACTAATCAGCCAATTTTTCTATGGATTACAATATGAAGTAAAGAAATTAATGCTCAATTTATCTGATTCTCAGACATTGAGTCAAACAATTGAATTTATTGTGAAATATAATAATTGGCTTTTTGAGTTTTAATTAGAGAATCGCAAAAAGAGATCTCAATGTTATTACAATTCAATGATGACACCAACGACTTCTCAATCTAAAAATTTGGAAGTAGAAGCCATGCAAATTCATGTAGTATATTTTAAACCTCTTACCGAACAAGAAAAGACTCATTGTCATCAAAAAGGACTATGTTTATATTGTAGAGAAGCTCAGCACATTGTTTAATATTGTCTAAAGAAATGACACAACTACAAAATGAGAAGTATTGCTGTCAAAGATGAAAACATGTCGAAAAATAAATTTTTTCAACTACAATAGGGACTGTGTGGCTAGAATCTTATATAATTCCTAATGAAGATCCTATTCTCTCCTTAGAACCTTCTCCTTGTTTTACAATAGATGTGCGTTTAGGATCTAATAATCACAAAGCCATTGCCTTAATAGATTCAAGAGCCTGTACTTATTTTTTAGATGAAGAATTTGTTAAAAGTCATAATATATAGTTAGTACAAAAAATTAAACCCATACACATAGAAGTCATAGATGGTTGTTTATTGTCTTCTAGAGATGTTACTCATAAAATACTTCTTATAGATATAATAATAAATGGTCATAATAGTTGCATAACTTTTAATATAATTAAATCTCTCTCTAATCTAATCATTTTAGATTTATCATGGCTAAAAAAGTATAATCCTATAATAGATTGGATTTCTTGTAAACTTAACTTTTTTTCAAATATTATTAAGAGTTTTTCTAATCCAATAGAAAGCCATGATTTTAGTGTAGCCAAACTTGTACTTATAAGTGTAAAAGCTTTTATTGTATGTTACAAAAAAAAGATCATCTTTTGTTATTTATGCCATACCTATTTTAAATGATGGAAAGATTTCAAGTGAGATTTCAAGTCAATATCAAGATTTTTAAGATGTTTTTGAGAAGAAGAATATAAATATTCTCTCAAAGCATTGGCTATATAATTGCTCAATCGATCTTAAAGAAAGAACTCAGCTGCTATTTGGTCCAATCTATAGTTTATCACAAAATAGGTTGGCTAAACTCAAGAAGTACATTGATGAAAAATTGGCCAAGAATTTCATACGCTATTCAAAATCTCTTGCAAGAGCTCTTATCTTATTTGTGAAGAAAAAAAGATGGATCATTGCAAATGTGTGTGGATTATTGAGGACTCAATAAGATTACTATCAAGAATAGATATCCTTTGTCTTTGATATATGGACTTCTTGATCAATTAAATGAAGAATAAGATCTATAGAAAAATAGATCTACAAGGAGCATACAATGTGGTCCGCATTAAAAAAAAGAGATAAATAAAAGATTACATCTTGAACAAGGTATGGATGCTTTGAATATAATGTCATGCCTTTTGGATTCACAAATACACCAGCTGCTTTTTAATATCTTATAAATGATATTTTTCATGAATTTCTAAATGATTTTGTTGTATATTATTTAGACGATATTTTAATCTACTCTAAGAATGTAGAAGAACATGAAGTGTATATTCATCGTGTGTTACAAAAACTTAGAGATATAAGATTGTACACCAAGATAAAAAAGTGTATATTCTATACTATTCAAGTTGACTTCTTAAGATACATCATTTCAAACAATGGTCTAATAATGGGTTCCAAAAAAGTTCACACAATCATAGACTAGAAGATTCTAAAAACAATAAAAGATGTACAATGCTTTTTAGAATTTGCCAATTATTATCAAATCTTCATCAAGAACTTTTCTAAAGTTATAGCACCACTTACACGCTTAACTTATAAAGTCAAGCTCAAGTAGAATAAAGAAGCAAAATTATCATTTGAAGCCTAGAAGAAAGCTTTTACTTTTGCACCAATCCTACATCACGTTGATTTCTCCAAAATATTTTTTAGGAAGACAGATGCATTTGACTTTGTCTTAGGTGTAGTCTTATGACAAATAGGAGTAGATGAAAAACTTCATCCAGTAGCTTTTCATTCAAGAAAATTTTCAAGAGCCAAGATTAATTATGACATCCATGACGAGGAACTTCTTACAATCGTAGATTCTTTTTAAGAATGGCATCATTATTTAGAAGGCACTTCAAGTCTAGTCACCATGTATACGGATCACAAAAATCTTGTGTATTTCATGTCAACTTGTATATTGAATCGTGGCCAGGCTTATTGGAACATGTCTTTATCAAGATTCAAATTTAATATCACTTATCACCTAGGAAAACAACAAGGTTTGTTTGATGCCCTCTCTAGACGTTCTTATCTTACACCCAAAGAAGAAGAAGCAGCTTTTGACTAACAAAAGATAATTTTATTGA